GCATTACACACATAGGTTGAGGAGCTCTGGTGGGATCCCCTGCTCTGGCTGACTGGCTGAGCTCTTGCACCAGGTAGGAGGAGAGTGGGGTGCTTTCTTTCGCATGCACAATCCTGTGCAGTCCCACCCTACACTCATTGTCTGCCTACCTGGGCTGCTAGGCTTGGTGGGGACGCCCCTGCAGTTGCTTAGCTGCCTCAGTCTACAGTGTTCCTGTGGCCTGTGAGGCAACTCCGAGAGCAAGACTGTCTCTGCGGAGGACTACTTTTTCCCCCTTCTCCTGTCAGAGTTGCGTGTTGGCCACCACATGTGGCCCCACACCCTACATCGCTGCCCTGCTGCCACTCGGGGCGGGAGAGGAGATCTTCTTATCTCCTTCCACTGTCTCCTATGGCACGTCCAGTGCCCCCATCTTCAGCTATATGGCTGCGTGGATCTCTCAGACATGTATTGTGTTTCATGAGTGTCCTCTGTTGTTTTATGAATGTGCTTTTCCTTCTGTCTTAGCCGGGAGAGACTAAGGGAAGAGCTCATTCTGCCATGATGCTGATGTCATTCTCTTAATGTGTCTGTTTTTATGCCAATATCATACTGTTTTGATTACTATAGCTTTGAAATATAGTTTGAAACTGGGAAGCATGATACCTGTAGCTCTGTTCTTTTCAAGATTGTGTTGGCTATTTGGAGTCTTTTGTGGTTCCATACAAATTTTGTGATTGTTCTATTTCTGTGAAAAATGCATTGAAATTTTGATAGGGGTTGCAGTGAATCAGTAGATTGCTTTGAGTAGTATGAACATTTTACCACTATTCTTCCAGTTCTTCAGCACAGAATATCCTTACGTTTATTTGTGTCTTCTTCAATTTCTTTTATCAATGTTTAATAGTTTTTGGTGTTCAGGGCTTTCACTTCTCTGTAAAATTTATTCCTGGGGATTTTATTTTTTTTGGTGCAATTGTAAATGAGATTGTTTTCTTAATTTCTCTTTCTGATAGCTCATTATTAATGTATTGAAACACAAGTGATTTTGTATATTGATTTTGTATCCTGCAGCCTTACTACATGAGTTGGTTAGTTCTAACAGGTTTTGGTGGAGTTTTGTGCTCCGGTAAGTTGTGATTGTATGTATTCACCTGTCTCTCAGTTTTGGGGGCAGCAGTACACCCTAAGACTTTAATTCTCTGATGGATGTAAGATGAGTTGTTGGTTTGTTCAGTTTGTTCAGTTTGTTCAGCTTTTGTCTTATGAGGTTGTGAGTGATGACTTCCAAGGTATTTACATGCCGGATCAGTAACCAAAAATCTTGAGCATCTTTTCTTAAAATTGTGGGCAATTTGTATATCTTTGTTGGAGAAATGTATATTCATATTCTTTGTTTGTAAATTGGTTTATTTATATTTAGTTGTAAGAGTTCTTTATATATACTCTAGATACAAGTCCCTTATCAGATATATGCTTTGCAAAACCTTTCTCACATTATGTGTTTTATCTTTTCACTTGCTCAAAGGTGTCCTTTGATTATAAAAGATTTTGATTGTTTTTTTGTGAAGTCCAGTTCATTTTTCTTTTGTTGCTTATACTTTTGATATTATATCTAGAACCCATTGCCTAATCCAAGGTCACAAAAATTACACATACCTTTTGTTTTAAGATTTTTATAGTTTTAGTTTTACATTTAGATCTTTGACCCATTTTGAGTTGATATTTTTTTATGTTGTGAGGTAGGTGTCCAACTTGATTATTTTGCACATGGATATCCACTTGTCCTGGCACCATTTGTTGAAAAGGCTATACTTTCCCATTTAATTGTTTTCGCACCGTTGTTGAAAATCAGTTGCATGTAAATGTGAGTGTTGATTTCTGGGCTTTCAGTTCTATTCCATTGATCTATATATTTATCATATACCACACCATATTGATTCTATACTGTATTTATATTGTAGCTTTGTAGTAAGTTCTGAAATTCAAAAGTGTAAGTCCTTCAACTTTTTACTTTTTTTTCGAGGTTATTTTCTCTATTCTGAGTCCTTTGAATTTATGTATGAATTTTAGAATCAGCTTATTACTTCTTACTTTTTTAACTTGATGTTTTAGGTAAGACAGAATTAACTTGTACCTCAGTTATAGTAGCTTTTTTTTCCAAGCAGGATGTATTTATGCAATTTTTTTCAACCCCTTTACTCCTTTGCTTTTGGCTTCTGTGTTTGTGTTTGTATCTTTTCATCTCTTTGGATCCTCTCTGGAAGTAAACAAAGAGCATAGGTAAAGAAAAATAGATAAAATATTGTTATTTTAAGTTAGCAGAGAATAATTTTGAATCAGGACAGAATGGAAGAAATCTGCAAAGAATTGCTCCTGAATCAATATTCTACTCTAATATCACTTCTTGTTTCATTTCAAGTGGTATGAATTCCTAGACCATCTTAAAAATATATGACTAGCAAAACACATCGAACATGAATGATTTTTAAAATTATCTTGTAAAGTTTTGAGAGGTATTAATTTGCAAAGCACACATTTTAGTAGTTACTCTTCCTCTAACCCCTTTCCAACCATACAAAAAATTGATATGGTAATTTGACATGGTTAATTTATTCTTAAGTATTATCTGAGGTTTTCTAAGAAATCTAGTGATCTTTTATTTCTTCAACTCTTGTTCTTTAATTGAAACTTACTTCATCATTTTACCTAATAAGGTTTTACTGGTTTTTTTTGAAAGAGTAACTATTACATGTCTTCATCACATAGGACCATTAACCATTGATTCTCATACATGACTATGTGAGTTAGAAGGATCTGTGGCATTTTAAAAAGTATGTAGTTGCTTAGTCCCCACTATACTGAGATCAGTCTGTAAGGGTTGAATCTAGATCTTTCTTTAAAAAGCCCTGCAGGTGAATAGACAGGTAGGTTTGAGAAATTGCTGTCTAAAGGTAAATATTTGTGGACCTTCAGTATATTAGTTAGAAATCTCTAGACAAACAGAACCAATAGAAGATATAAATGGAGATTTATTATGAAGACTTGGCTTACGCCATTATGGAGGCTAAGAAGTCCCAGGATCTGCCATCTGTAAGCTAGAGACCCAGGAAAGCTGGTGCTGTAGTTCAGTCAGATCCACTTCCAGAGGCATGTGAACAAAGGGAGCCAATGGTGTATATCCCAGTCTGAGGGCAGGGGGAGGTGAGATGAGATGTCCCAGCTCTGCAGTGAGGCAGTAAAAAGGGTGAATTACTCCTTTCTCTGCCTTTATTCTATTCAGGACCTCAGGGGATTGGATGATGTCCACTCTCATTGGGAAAGACAGTATCTTTTAGTGAGTCCATGAATTCAAGTGCCAGTCTTATCTGGAAGCGCACTCTGACATAACCAGAAATAATGTTTAATGTGGGCACCCCGTGGTCAGTAAAGTTGATGCATAAAATTAACCATCACACTCAGTTTTTACATAAATTACTATTTTTTTATTTTGGTATATCTTAAATATATTCCAATATAAAACTAAGTATTAATGCCTTGTGTGTATCATTTTTGTACAACTATAAAAACAATGTAAGTTTCTTTATAAAATACCAAAATGAGAAAACTATTAAAATTTAGATTATTATGTTAATGAAATGAATGAATGGATTCCTATCTTCTTCTGTCATTTCTGATCTGTTTCCTAGAGGTTATATAAAACATTCCCAGGTGATTCTCATGTAACAGTGCCTTGTGAGAACCCCTGCTCTATAGCATTAATTTTGCTGTTGTTTGTGTACTTTATTATTTTGCTTTATTATTATTTAATAATTTTATTTTCTGTTTCACCATATAATCGTGAGGCTAGCATGCCTACTGTATTACTATATATTTGATGTCCAAACTAATATTCTTTATTTGAACTGCTGCTAAGTCTGATTGACTTAGTGTACAGTGATGACATTTGGCCTTCACATGATATGGACACATTTACAAACTAAGCCTGCTTTTATTTTTCTCAGTATTTTTATTTTATTTACTACAGTTAAAGTATTCTTACCTATTGGCGTGATTGTAATCACAAGTACAGACTTGGACACTAAGATTGTGGGATAGTGTCCAGTTAAAAGATGTTGACTATCATTAAGAGGAAAATATGAAATTAAAAAATTCTCATAGGGAACTTATGAATGGATCTTAAGAATCTGTTTGTTGTTCCTCGTTTTAGAAACACTACTGTAAAAGTTTTTAAATATTAATTTTTGCTTTCTCTGTAGATTTATATCCAGAAGTGGAGAAACTGAGTGGAAGGGTGTTGGGGGTCTTTGATATGGGTAGGAAGGTATTTCAGAATCACTCAGCAATTAACTTGCATACCAATCAAGATTATTGTATATAAGAGTACATAGTTAGGTAAAGTTCTTTATGTTATTTCTGATGTATCCCTCCCTTCGATTCACTATCACATAATGTTAATTTTGGCTTCTTAGTTGTATGCTGTCATATTTGATTATTTTTTCACTTGATAAATTTGTTAACTGTTTCCCTTATGAGATTGTAATGCAGCAAAGAGAAGTGTTGTGTGTGCATGCTTAATGGGTGCTTAATAAATTGAACTGAAACAACTAAGAAAAGCTGTCGTAAATATTAAAGGAGAATTAATGCATAGATCATTTCCTTGTGAGTGTATTTGTTAAAATTAAATTTTTTATTATGTTTTATTGGCTGTAATTCTATGTATAACTAGGATCACAGAGATAATCTCTTTCTATTGCTAGTTTTTACCTTTGTATTTAGGCCAAATTGAATCAGTGTATTTTTGAAGTAAGTTTTTCTATAAGTACCTTATACATGATTTTTTTTTCCGTAAAAAATTGACACTGTAGCAAACCTTTACCGTTATGTGAAGATCAAAAGACACTTGGAATGCAGTTGTAAATGCATTCAAATCTTTGCCACTTTAATCTTTTTCTGTATTTATTATTTGTCATTAAATTTTAAGCTGATGATTCCTGGTGTTTCTTTTTCTTTTTAAATAGATATGATGATGCTATTCAGCTATATGATCGAATTTTACAAGAAGATCCAACCAACACTGTAAGTTAGCTGATTGTCCTGAAGATCATCTAAAGTTTATTTTAAAAGGCAAAATTATGGCAAGTAGACTTTTGATGGTGAACATGATGTATTCTATACAGAAGTGAACTATGATGATGTACATCTGAAATTTAGATAATGTTATAAACCAATATTACCCCAACTTTTAAAAGAAGGCGAAATCAGTTCAGTTTGAAATAATGGAAAAATGCATACAGAGCCAGGTTTTATCTTTTTATTTCAAATATTTCATTATGAGCCATATTTTTTTTTTTTTATAGATTTAAAACTCTTTGGCAAAATTTGACTTAAATCTTATTAGAGAGAAGTTAGTTGAAATTTGGAAGGAAAGAATATTATGTACTTACATGAAAGCCCAGCAGAGCTCAGTGTTTTTGTGATATTTTGAAGTTTATGAAATAGTAACTTGTTTTGGGGGGTAGTTATATCTTATTTGTCTGAATGAAAAATGAAAGAAATCATCTCTGTGGTTAATATAGGGAATTATGAAGTTGTTTTGTTTGGTTTTGCTTTTTTCTACCTTCTACCTGAATAAGAATATATCTCTCTCTCTCTTTATCCTGATTTTGAACAAGTGTTTTGTATCAGTTATTGGGCAGAGTATTTGTTACAAATGTATAGTATTATTTGTTTGAAAAATACCCTGGTTAAAAAATTTTTTTTAATGTTGAGAACATTTTGGTTTACTATATTGGCATAATGACTTCCCTCAGACTTACCTTTTACTAAGTGAAGAGGTAAAGAGAAACTTTAGATAACATCCGGTATTTTGATGTCTTATGTTATTATGTCCATACATGTGCCTTCTAAAAGAGAAATATTTTTAGAATTTTTAAACAAAAACCAGTTTGACCACTTGTCTGTCAGTAGCCATGCTGTGACGGTGGCTCATAGAAGAGCTGGAAGGACTCACAACTAAAATACACATCTAAGTACTAGAGCTTTGTGGGAAAAAAAAGAGAGGAAGATTGGCAACAGATGTTAGCTCAGTGTGAATCATTCCCAGCCAAAAAAAGAATTCTCAGTTACATGAACCAATATAACCAATTAAAAAGAAGAAACCAGTTTGAGTTTGTTTTTTCCTTTTATAAAAGGAGAAATTGTTATATTAACACATAATACAAATACTTGAAGGTGTTCTCTTATTTGGCAAGTATTTCATTAAAACTGCACATTTTATAAAAGTCATAATGTACAATTGTCACTTATAAGATCCAGAAATGCTTAATATTGAACGTTAGTAACTTGATTCATTTTAAATAAATTATTTGTGCTAAGTTGGGAAATTATGCAATACTGAAGTGTGCAGTTTCTGGATAGCATTTGTCCCAGGCATTCATTGGTCATAAATCCCTGATCCCTGCTTGCCTCTTTTGATACTCCATAGTAATACTTAACATCTATTGCTTAAAGGGTAGAGTTTTCTCAAGCTTTATTGAGATGTAATTGACTAGCAACATTGTGAAAGTTTATGTTGCACAATGTGGTGATTTAATATATGTATATATTGTGAAATGGTTTAGAGTTTTGCTTTTAATATTATCCCACCCCAGGGAAATTTTCTTTGGAAACTTCCTAGGTTTTTTAATTTTTGGTGTCTGAATGGCAGGGATTCATTATTTTGTGAGGATTCTCAGAATGTAGAGAGTTCAGGGAAAAGTTTTGGCAGAGCTGCAAGCCTACCTATTATAAAAAATAAAAGTAAGAATCAGCTTGTGGGGGCGGGCCTGGTGGTGTGGTAGTTAAGTTCATGCACTCTGCTTCAGCATCCCAGGGTTTGCCAGTTCAGATCCCATGCGCAGATGTATGTCCTGCTTATCAAGGCATACTGTCACAGGCGTCCCACATATAAATTAGAGGAGTCTAGACACAGATGTTTGCTCAGGGCCAGGCTTCCTCAGCAAAAAGAGGAAGATTGGTGACAGATGTTAGCTTAGGGCTAATCTTCCCCAGCAAAAAAAAAAAAGAAACAGCTTCTGTTAATTTTATCTAGATATTCTCAATAAAAAGAGTTAAAATCAGAAAGTTTTGAATACTTTTCTAGTCTTAACTATTCTAATGCCTTGCCATCTGTTTTAATAAAACAATCCTTTATAGATAGTACCATTTTTCTTTTCCTGAAGACTTTCTCATGTACTTATTTCAATTATAAGATTTCACCACAGTTTCAAAGGTATTCATTTTTCAAACAGCTATATATTGAAAAAATGAAATCAAGTTTCTGAGAAAAGTTTGAGTTTCATGTATATTTCTAATACCAAGTTAAAAATCAGTAGCTTGTAATTTGTTTTCTTGGAATTAGGAGTCAAACATCGTACTTCTATACCAGTTTAAGTTGGAACTATTTTTAGTAAATTATTTCACTTCAAGGTCTAAGATAATATGTAATTAAATATTGCTCTATCTTTGTAGTAGTATAACTAAGGAAAAGGATGAAACTGGGCTTTCTCATCTTTTTGAGATAATACATTAAAGTTGCTTTGGAAAAAGAAATTATGATGTCTTCTATATAGTAACTTAACTGTTTCATATTAAGTGAAAGTCTTCCCCTACTAGTCTTTATTAGTTCTAGGTCTTATCTGGCTTTGTTATTTCCCTCAACGTCTACCACAGTGCTTTCTACAGATAGAGTAACAGAAACAGTCTTAATTCTTAGTAACACTAACACTATGGTGGCTCACAACAGATACTTGATAAACATTTACAGAAGGACAGAAGGTACTGAGGGGAGATTAGATAAAACTGCTATTTGATGAAAGAATAATATATGGCAACGCTCATGTTAGTCACCTTGCTCTAAAATATTTACCTAAAACGTAAAGATTTAGTTACTACCTCCTCATACATAGTCTATAAGGGGCCATTTGGATTTCTCTTTTAGCCAGTCTTAAAGCCATAAAACGTGGAAAGTACAATTATGTGTTGCTTAATGACAGGGTGACATTCTAAGAAATGCATTGTTAGGTGATTTCTTTGTGCAAATGTCATAAAGTGTACTTACACAAAGCTAGATGGTATCGCCTACTACACAGGTAGGCTATATGGTGCTAATCTTATGACACTGCCATCACGTATGCAGTCCATCCTTGACTGAGATATTGTTATGTGGCACATGACTATAGATATAATTGCCTCTGTGCTAAGGGTGAAGATGCTTTCAGAATGCCACATTTCCCAGGGTCATCGGCATAAACCTTGGAGGCAGGAGTGCCTGGAAGTCTGTTTTCCCTCTGTTGGCAATGTATTGTGTCAGTTGCTTTACATTGATACTTGGAGATTGATGGTATTACTGAGGTTTGGAGAGGCTAAATATTTTGCCCTTGGTTAGAAAGCTGGTAAGTGACAAGAGTTGGGGTTCAGTTTCTTGTCTTTTTTATTTCAAAGCCTGGACTCTCTGCTTTACCGTATTGCCTTTGGAAGAAGTAGTATCATGAAAAATGAAAGGAATAAACAATTCTGTTTCAAATGATGTTGGATTGGTGAAATCAGATATTATATGTCTAAAAGAAATTAGTTCCTTAATTATATATTAATTCATCCCTCACCTGTTTTGAGAAGGACTTGGGATAAGGCTTTCACATTTGAAATCTAGTAATTCTTCCTGAAGGCTTAAGGATTGAGTTACTTTTAGAGCTTTTTACTTTCCTTCTGAATTCTTTTTTATATTTTATTTATTTTATTATTATTTTTAAAGATTTTATTTTTTTCTTTTTTCTCCCCAAAGCCCCCCCAGTACATAGTTGTATATTCTTAGTTGTGGGTCCTTCTAGTTGTGGCCTGTGAGAAGCCACCTCAGCGTGGCCTGATGAGCAGTGCCATGTCCGCACCCAGGATTCAAACTGGCGAAACTCTGGGCCGCTGCAGCAGAGCGTATGAACTTAACCACTTGACCATGGGGCCGGCCCCTCCTTCTGAACTCTTGAGATTAAGCTTTGAATTCATTATGGTGCTTTCATTGTTTTACCTAGTGAAATTATTCCAAAATTATTTCTATGCCAACTATGTGGCAGGCATTGTGTTAGGCCTTCAGCCTGAGATGAATAATCAAGGATATATGTTTTTAATACATGTGATTTTTTTGTTACCAAAATATCACTATTATTATAAATATTGCTCTTGTTATTTATTGGGGAATCTCTTGATTCTCTCTGATTTTTTGACTTTTACTTTTTCAGAGCAAAAACCTCCACCTTTCCCACCCCAAGACAGGTAGCTGTGTTAGTATAAAGAGGCCTCATTCATTTTACTTCTCTTGTCTGCATCTTGTGGAGTGTGTATTATATAAAACAATGATAATCATGTTCCTAATTATTAAGCTTAACCTGGCCCTAGTTATAGTGTATTTTATTATTTATCCTTCAGCTTTGAATTAATCAGAGATGGAGGGGATGTAAATTTAATAGTTCATATAGTGCTCTCCAGTCCCTGACTATTCACTCCACCCTCAAACATATAGTCGTAATTACACACAATGCTACTCTCTCCTATGCTTTTGCTCTTGTGTTCCTCCTACTATGCAGTGTCCTCCATATAATTTCCTCTCTTGCTTCCTTAATGTCTGCTTGCCCTTTTTATTTCAGTACATGTATCACATCTGGGACTCACTTTGCTTCCTGCCCTTCCATCTCTCTACTCTGCCGCAGCCTGTGTTAGGATCTCCATGTTACCACAACACCCCAGATATCTCTATCATTGTCTTTTTATTTGATATGTCTTCCTCTCATGAGACTGAGCTCCTGCAAGGAATTATCTATTCCTTTTTTATGCTTATATTTTCATTGTCTAGCACAGTACTTGGAACACAATAGATGCTGAGTAAATGATGACTACATAAATAAATGGCACTGATTTTTATATTTATCATTTAAAAATCTTTAAAATACAAGTTTTAAATGCTTTGATTATTATAAAATATGTCTTTCAGGACCTATGTTATTCTTTTGAAAGACTCATAGGTAGATTTTTCTCTTAAAATTGTGAAAAAAGTTCTCAGAAGCCATATTTGTATAATAACATTCAAGTGCCCATGGTGAGATTTTTTTTCTAATCTCCACTATCCTTCTATCTCTTAAGATACAGATCTTATGAATGAAACAGAGTAAAAGGACTTTAGGCTGGATAAAGATTAGGATTCCCTGCTGGCTTGTAATTATCAGAATCTGGATGGTTATTTATTTGAATGAAATGATGCATACATTGTGTACATCAAAAGTAAAGCATATATGATTGTTAGAGGAATGTTTGAATTCCCCAGTGGGATGTCATGGAGTATGTTTATAAACTCCCACTAAGCAGTAGTGGTACAATGGTATTTCACTGGCATTGAGATAATAATTTGCACAGTCAAATTACCTTCTTTACAAAAACCCAGGGAATCATGAAGGCCTAATCCTTTATTAATGTCAACCCATAGGCTGCAAGAAAGCGTAAGATTGCCATTCGAAAAGCCCAGGGGAAAAATGTGGAGGCCATTCGGGAGCTGAATGAGTATCTGGAACAGTGAGTGTCTTACAAGAGGATTGTGTTTTGTTATTCTGATAAATCTTTTTTAATTAAAATGGAATTTGCATTTGATTTTCCTTTTCGCCTCCATGCTGTTCATTTACAGAATATCTACACGCTTATTTTTTTTCCCTTTCCTCTTACCAGATTTGTTGGAGACCAAGAAGCCTGGCATGAACTCGCAGAACTTTATATCAATGAACATGAGTAAGTTGTTAGATGCACATAAAACTTTGTTAGAGTACAGTTTTCATCACTATATGTTAAGAAGGCATAATGGTTTCTGAAGGATTGGTGAGAAGATATGAATTACATGTCATTTTAAATGAACAAAAAAGTAAACAAATGACAAATAAATCCACAATTTGTTGGTTATAATAGGTGAATTGCTTTAACTAAGTCATTTGTCGTTTTGTTTGGGAAATGAGTTTTTCTTTCAAATACGGATGGCATTCTTTGGAATTAGAAAGGCCTGCATTTGCAAAGCTAAGGTTATTTTTAATGAATCAAAATTGTGAATTTTTAGAGTTTAAATTCTTCTTATATACAAAGAGTATTATACTCCCTGCTGTTTAAAAATTCTGTCAAGTGAATGCATTTATTAGCCTTAGTACTAAGAGAATCAACTCTTCCAAAGTAGAAGCATTCTGTTGCCTGGGTAAAAAACCAAGAATAATCAAGAATGTTGAATGTTGTAGGAACTTGCTTATTGGATATTTAATGTTTTTGTTAGCTTTTTTATTGCTGTAGTGACAGGAGGAAATCCCAGTGTGAGAGGATTAGCCCAGTCTTAGTGCAAGTTTTCTAATATCACAGCATTAACGCCAACCTCCCTCTAGAGGCACGATTTTTTTTTCTGCTTAGTTCTTCTGAATCTGAAGTATATCACGTTGTTTGTTTCCTTCTTTTTGAGAGAATAGAATCAGATTCTCATGCACATATTCTTAAAGTGCATGAATAGTTAACTTCATTCTTATACTACAAATAGCTGACACAGGAAATAAAATAGAATGAAGACACTTCTTTCTTGTCTTTGCCCAGGGCTGTGTATGTAATGTGAAATGGAGAATTAAGGTAGTTATCTGCATAATTCTAATAAAAGTGGGAGCTAAAGTAAAAGTAGTAGCTGTCATTTAATGAGTATGTACTGTATTCTGGGAACCATTCTTCAGTTCTCTACTATACTCTGGCTGTCAGATTCTCTTTGTTTTTCATTAGGAAATTATTTCCTGAATCATATTCACTATAGATATATGTTCACATATGTAAACATACTCATGATTCTCTTATGTATGTGAGAGTGGTAGTGTGTTTGGTTTAAATGGTAATGGTTCCATTTTTCATAGTTTGAAAGTCAACATTTATAAAATATGCAGTATATAATGTAAATAACATGAAACTGAATTTTTGGAGTGCAGTAACAAAATTAACATTAGTTTTATTTTGTCCCTAAAATGGCAGTCATTTAAAATGTTTCTATGCCTTTTGAAGGTCATGTGATTAAAAGCATTTTAAAACATTTCAAATCATCAATAAAATGTTTTAATTAAAGTAATACCTAATGCAGAAAATTTGAAAAACCCAATAAAGAATAAAGATGAAGACATAAATCATGTGTAGTTATATCATCCTAAGTTAACTACAGTTCATAGTTGATTTTTTTCCCTCAGTAACTCTTAAACAGAAACCTAAAATAGAATTATCTTTTGTAGTTTATGCTTTTCACTTATTTATATTTTGTCAAAAATTCCTTATCACCATAAATATTCCAAAACGTGATTTTAATCGCTTTATATTATTTTATCTTATAATATGCCCTAGTATTCTTCACCAATTTCCTAGGGAAATATAAAGGTTGTTTTTCATGTTCACTATAATGCTGTTCTGATTGTCTTTAATTGTTTCTTTGGGCTAAAATCTTAGAAGTAGAATTCCTTGATTATATGATATGCACATTTTTAGTGGTTTTGATAAATTGTTCCTAATTGTTCACTAGAAAGATAATATCAGTTTACTCTCACAGCAGCAATTATTAGAGTGTCCCTTTAACGACACTGGGTGCTCTCATTCTTTTTAACCTTTGCAAATTTTGATAGGTGAAAATTGGTTACACCTTTTAGAAAAGTTTTTAAGAACTCTTTATATAAATGATATGAACCTTTGTCCTGTCAAAAATATATCCTTGTTTATGTCTTTTTAATATTGATTTTTTGATTTGTAGAAACTTTATATTAGGTAATCAGATATGTCAATTTTTATTGCTTTTATGTTTTCTGTCCTCTAAAACTATGTAAATATGTCAATTATTTTCCTGTTTCTTTCTGTTTTACTTTTTTGCATGTGTTTCTAGTATTTCTTTAATTAGTTCTCAAATAGGTTATATTTTATTTTTAACCTACCATTAAATTTATTATTATTATTATTTGCCTCACCTTGTAATGGCCACATTCAGTTTTGCTTTGTTTTGAGTCTCTAAAGAGTTTATTGAGATAGGGTTGAATGTACGTTTAAGAGAAGTGAACTGAAAAATCCCCAAAAATCAAGAAGTATAGACAGAAAGGCACCTAAAAAATAATCTCTTATCAGGGGCAATGGTAATTGTGTTCAGGCTACCTTTTTGTCTTATATCACAAACTCTTTTTGGTCTTAAAGCTAAAAAAGTGACCATTTATTTTTTCTAATTGAGCACACAGAAGGAATATTCAGATTTAGAGTGAGTGGAAATAAATATCTTTAGGTTTTTTTGAAATGATATGAAAATCAGAATCTCTTAATTCATTTGATTTGTTTGGGCAAGTTGTTATAATAGAAAGGATTTTTTTGGGCAGAAGTGATAAATTATTGTGGAATGTCAGTTTAGCACAGTTTGGGGGACATAGTGGCAGAAATGTAGCAATTTAGGAATTGCTAGACATATTTAACATTTTGACATTCTTTTCTGCATATGAATAGATACAAGCTATTTTAAATATAATAGGTCACAGGCAGTATTGCTATGCTAGATCTAGAATTTTTACTCCAAATAAATGTCCACAGTAGAATGTTCATATAAGCATACTCAGTACTTTTATAGAAAGGAGATATAGAATTCTGCCACATATTTTTTTATGTTTGAGTTTTACTTAACATTCCTTCTGATTTATAAGTTCTAGTTTCTCTTTAGTTACTCCAGTAGTATATGTTACACCAGTTGACCATATTGAGACACTTTATTTGTTCTAAATATAAAAAATTAGTTATCCATTAGCACCACGAGTATATATTATAAACAAAAATATGTTTTTTAAACAAAGACACTTACTGTTTTTACTTGATTTGTAGTTAAAACTAGATATTATATCCACAAGGAGCAGCCAGTAGTGTAAATTAATTGTGATCTTGATTGTGATTCCTTTTTGTAGGTCAGTCTTGCTATAAAATTGTATAACAGATGAAATTATCAAAATCCTATCAGGAAAAATAATGTTTATAAAGCAATCTAGGGACAAATATTATAACGTATACATATGCTTTTGGGAGGAAGAGAAGAACTTCAAAAACTTTATTTGGTTACTGACTCTACCATGTAATAATAGTATTTATTTTACATAGATTCGAATTGTTTTTACTTCTCTAATCTTAGTCTCATTGAGTCATTGTATATAATGAATTTTACTTCTTTATGCATCTGGAATGCTACCATCCTTGGGAGGACTGAGTACATAATCACTTAAATCACTTTACGTATGGCTTAATACACTTGGGCGACCCTGGCTCAGAAAAAACTGCATTAGACCAGCTCTTGCCCATTTCAGCTCTAAGTTTATTTGATTCTATATTTTATCCACAAAATTAGTTTGATTTTTATACTTTGTAAAATTGAGGGGAAGCGATCCCTTTCTTATATGTGATGCTAAATCATTTCTGAGAAAAATATCTTGGCATTCATTTTTCAGTAGAAACTGTACCTGCCCGTTTTATCTTACTTTATGCCTTGTATGAACCAGAGTCACAGTTGTGCTCGACCCATTTAAATCTCTAAGGATATTTATTCTTAGCATTATGTTGAATTTTTGGCATCATCCTAGTTAAGGGAACGAATTTACACGGGAGCTGTCTTTTTGATGAAGTTGCGTCTTTGAGGTAGAGACCCTTTTCCCTTCTCTTATGGAATAATAAATAAATAGGTGGCCATAATGCTTTTGTTCTAGATATTTATTCAATCATTTATTCAATCGTTTATTATGTACTTGTCCTATGTCAAAAACCAGTGTGACATTTTGGATATAAAAATGAAAAGGGCTACATAGCTGCATGATCTTTGAGAATCTGTATATAAGGTCATTCATAAATCTAAAATGCTGTGGTTTTTGGGTAATCTGCAGGGTGTTTTTGGTTCCTTGGGCCCTTTGGGTTTGATTGCTGTACCCATTTTTATGTTACCATTCACATCTTCATCACTACTGTCAACACCATGATTTTTCACTGTGGTGTGTAGTGCATATAGGCAGTATGCTTAGCGGTTAAGAGTGTAGGCTATCTGGAGTGGCACAGCCTGAGTTTCAGTTTACATCTCTGTGCCTCAGTGTTCTCAACTATAGAATGGTGAGAATTTCCTTCTTCCTAGTGCTTTGGTAGGATTAAATGAGTTAACACATATTACACACCTAGAGTAGTGCATGATACATAATAAGTAGGTAATAAAAGTTACCTACTAGTAGTCAGTACACATGTGTGAAACTGCAACATGTATATTTTGAAAAGTAAGTACATCAGACATTAGTGTAAAGATAGGTACCTTTGTATATTGGTGACAAAAGCCAAAAATAACTCTTAGGTAGCCTTTTTCTGTTGGGTACTGTTATCACCTCCTCATTGGAAATAAATCTTACAACACCTGTGTTCTTAGGCTTTTCTGTAAATACTGAGGACATTCATATGCTTTAAACATAGGAAATACATTAAGGAGAATTAGAGTCACATGATGTAAAGCCATTTTTCTAGAACCTTTTGCAGCATTTTTGTCTTCAGGTTTTCAGCAAGATTTTTGTTTCTCTACAACATGATTAAATTAAGTAGAGTGCGTATCTAAACCGCTAAGTTGATCTATTTTTCATGAGTTTGGAAATTTATAGCTTCATTATGATTTTGTATTTGACAGTAAACTTATGTAATGAAAAGTCTTTTTAATAGAATATGTTGTTAAATATATGTCTGTAAAGGATTTTTACTGAATAGAGAGTATTTAATAAAATATTTATTTCCTTCCTACCCTTTAGCTATTTAAATATTTTAGTAAATGATCAGTGGACCAGAAGTTATTTTATATGTAACCTCATCCTAGGTCTGAAAGCCTATGTTGTTAATAATGTTTGGATGTCATAATACTGACCCAGTTTTAAAAATGTAATACCTATTGATTGTTCATAGGCTGCTTTAGGATTTAGACCTCTGTTTGTTTATTCATTTCATTAAAAAAATTAGCATAATTCGTATTTAAGATAACTACTTTATTAATAAAACTATTTAAATTATTTTGGGAATAAAATGTGATGTCACTAAAATTGTTTTTAAATTGTCTTAAGGTATAACTAAGATAAAATTTGTGACTTTTAAAATTAATTTCTCCTCTTGATATTTTTCAGCTATGCTAAAGCAGCCTTTTGTTTAGAGGAGCTTATGATGACTAATCCACACAACCACTTATACTCTCAGCAGTATGCTGAAGTAAGTGTTTTCAAAAACAGTTGTATGTGATTTTTTTGTTGTTGGTGTTGGGTATTATTATGGAACTAAAAATAGGTCCTTAATGTTCGGCAAATATATAAATATTTAAAACATATGATGTAAATTGACTTGGAGTAAAAGTTTTAAATTTTTAATACTGTAATGGAACTACTGATTTCTCCATTAAAAGCTTGTATTTAAAACTGAAGTTCTTTGTATTTTTTTATACTATTTTCTTTCCTAATTATGAATTAATTATTCCCCACTTGTCATCATTTACTGGTTTCCAAGACGTTTATAATGTTTGTGATTTTTAAATCCATATTCTAGGAAATTCGTATTAAGGTCAATGTTTTGGGAAGTAGAAAGTATTTATTTTATTTGCTTACTATTAAGAATAGCAGTGCAATTGAATGCTGTAAAGTTGGAAGGACTTTATCATTAAGGAGTGTCAGTGCAACTTTGAAAAGGGCAATTTAGTATCTAAGTCTAGATTTGTAAGGCTAGTAATAGAATATATAAAATTGTGAAGCATTTGCAAGGCACTTGAAATAGAAATTATACTGACTTCTTTATATTGGCAGCATTTTTGTTTTAAAAACTACTCAATGATTTTAATGTTCATAGAACAGAATAGTTTTTTGGAGAAGGTTATGCTTTAAAATTTAGATTAGTTTTAACAATTTTAAGATGAAGTCTTTTAACATCTTGCATTTGTTTACAGAATATCTGTTTCAATTACTAATGCCTGTAGCATGATGAAACATGCTATATTTCAAAGTAGTAAAATAAACAGGTTTCAGCACTCTGCAATTTTTAACAGGTTAAATATACCCAAGGTGGACTTGAAAACCTCGAACTTTCAAGAAAGTATTTTGCACAGGCATTGAAACTGAACAACAGAAATATGAGAGCTTTGTTTGGGCTTTACATGGTGAGTTGAAGTGTATGTTTAATGTTATTTTACGAAATCTGTCATTTAAAATCCATTAACTATCCCATCCAATTACTTGCCTCTTATATTTGTATTTCATTGGTAAGAATATGATTTTTTTTGCTCTAGCTAATTATGAGCTATAGGTTGTAAGGCACTTTTATTTTTGAATGTTAATATATCCTAGCTGTTTAACATTTCATTGCAAAATATCTTTTAATGTATTAGAATTGAAATCTGCCCTTATAAAATTAAGTAATAACAGATACAAACCATATTACATATTTCTTAATTGTTTTGATATTCTTGGGTTTATGCCCAACATTATTGTATTTCTTACTTAAATTATAGTTGTATGAGATGTTTTTAAACTGTGCCAATAAGAGACGTGTTAGAAATAAAATCTCTGATGTCAAATTAAAACATTTTTTATGGTATAGAAAAATAGTGGAAATTGTTTGTGGGAAGCATGTAATTGAATATTTCTGTTGTATATGTATGCCAAATGACTGATTTAGAAAAGTCAATTAACAAGAATATAGGAAATAGGAAGAACTTGCTGAGCTTTAAAATATATATAAAATGAGCCCTTCTCTGCAATCAGAATGACTGGAAAAGTAAGCTTTTTTTAGTAGTCCACTTCTTTGAAATTTTAATTTATCCTAGTCTTTTCATGAACTTTTGGATGAATGTCTTGTTGGGGCTCAGTGAAAAAGAATTGATTACAGAAACGGAAGCTGGAAGAAGCGTAAATGAAATAATTTTTGGAAGAGGAATGGCACAATATAATTGGAAAACAGTTCAAAGGAATTTTAAGAAATTTTTCCTGGATTCTGCCAGTGCCAAGTGTAATAGCTTGGAGATACAGTAATAGTAGCAGTGTCTCTTTTTACCAAATAAGTTAACAATACTAATTTTAAAGATCTATAATAAGTAAATGATTAATAATAGTTTATACATAGCACTTTATATGCCAGGCATTGTTCTGACCTCTATTTTTTGTTTTAAATCATTAAATTCTCACATCACCTATTTAAGAAGGTACTGTTATTACCACCCTCTCATAGAAAGTGAAACTACAACACAGAGAGGTCTAATTAATTTGTCCAAGGATGGACACAGAACTACTAAGTGATTGAGGTGGATTCCAGCCTAGGCAGTTGACTCAGTCATACTCTTAACACTGCATTTGCTGAAATTCATATCAAAAAGGTGACATTAAAGACATAGAGATACATGAATCAGATTTTGCATATAAATTCCTCACTGACAGAGGAGGAGACGGGAAAAGTCTGTAACACAAGCTAGGTATAGAAGAAAGCCTTAACATTTTTTTTTTTGAGTCACATGGACAGATCCTCTTAAGAATAAGATATATTTAAGAATAGGATAAAAGTTATATCTTCCTCTCCCCAGAAATACACACTTAAAAATTAGCATGTGATTTTGGGGGTTTACAGATTCTTTCATGGATCTCAGATTAATAGTCCCTTGTTTAAATACATTTTTGAAAAGGAGAAGGTGGATCAAATTATAGTGACTCTAATTGGTTCTATGGAACACAGTTTGGAAATACTTGGTATGGTGAAAAGTAGACTGAAAGTGAGGATCTCTTTCTGTTTCTAAGACTTTCATTAACTTGCTTTAGTCAAGTCAGATAACTCCTATTGGACTTAAATTTTCTTTTTACCTGTTAAGGTAGGGGTTGGACTAAATTATTTTTGGAATTCCTTATATTAGTATTCAATAATTCTATAGTTCTGACAGGAAAGCTGAAGTAATTCAGTAACAAGAAATAACACCAGTAATATTCTAAAGTACTTAAGTGGTAATGGAATTTTACTTTAAGAGCCTTGGTAGATAACTTACAAAATAATTTCAGATATTATTTAAGATATCGTTTCTGTTCACATTACTTTGGATTATTCTATATGTTAAAATATATTTTCATCTCTAAATACTAATTTCATTCAACTTTATTTTTATTTTAAAAATTGTTTTGGTACAATTTTTAAAACTGTTATCATCCCATTGAAACTGACTGTTGCATATGTGTTTTTGATTATCTTGACTAGAAAAAAATAATTTTGTTTTTGATGTTTCTTTTTGCTTTTAGTCGGCAAGTCATATTGCTTCTAATCCAAAAGCAAGTGCAAAAATGAAAAAGGACAACATGAAATATGCTAGTTGGGCAGCTAGTCAGATCAACAGAGCTTATCAGGTTAGTATTGATAATTGTATATTATCATATAGGTCAGTTAATGTTTTCCTTAGTTGTTTTTGTTTCTACAGACTACAAAGACAGATGTCTGTCGTTGGACTTTTAGCCTTAGGGCCTTTATCAAATCTGTTTTAACCATATAGAATTAACTTGTAGTTATAGGATCACATTTTTTTTTTCCTAAAAGATGTCTGTTGCTATTATGACCCCATAAATTAGCCTTATCATCTGGAAATCTCAGTAGTTTTGCATTTGGCAAATAAAAAGTAATTCTAAAAGTCCAGCAAGAATAAACAAGTTGCATGATGCACTTCAGAAGCAGATTCAGTATATGATTGTAGTTTAATCAGAGGTCTCTCAAGTAATAAAGGAGGAAGAAAAGCCTAAAAGTAAACTAACCCGACTTTATATAACAAAGTTCCTGTATACTCCTTACATGTCAGATCTTATGTGAAACTTCTTCACTCATTTCTGAGTTTTTTGAAGCTCATCTCTAGGAGATTCTTCAGGAAGGGCTCATGGAAAAGTGTATCTTCTTATATCTTGCATGTTTATAATTTACTATCTATAGTCTTTATATTTGAAGAAAAATTTGGCTTTTTATACAAACTTTGGCTTACATTTACTTAAGTATCTTAAACGTATTGTTCCATTTTTTTCTAGGATAAAATATTGCTGTTAAGAAGTCTGATGCCATCTTGATTTTCTTTCTCTAATAAATGACAGACTTTTTGTCTGATTTCCCAAAGGGATTTTTTCTTGATCTTTAAAGTCCAGTAGTTTTGCCACAGTATGTTTTGTTGATTATTCTGAGGTCAATTTTCCCAAATACATAATAGACCCTTTCAATATCTGGATTCAGTCCTCTTTTATTTCGAGAAAAGTTGCTTTTAGAATTACAGTTTTGGGGCCAGTTTTTTTCCTTCTCCTTTCACATTCACGGTGGCTCAGCAGTTAAGTGTACACGTTCTGCTTCGGCAGCCTAGGGTTCGCCGGTTCGGATCCTGGGTGTGGACATGGCACCGTGTGGCAACCCATGCTGTGGTAGGTGTCCCACATATAAAGTAGAGGAAGATGGGCATGGATGTTAGCTCAGGGCCAGTCTTCCTCAGTGAAAAGAGGAGGATTGGCAGTAGTTAGCTCAGGGCTAATCTCCCTCAAAAAAAAAAATTTTAAAAAAGATTACAGTTTTAAATATTTCTTAGTTTGGTTGCCTAAGTTTTCTTTTTCAGGTCTCCAATTACAAGTTTATTGGCTATCCTTTCCCAGCTCCTGTATCATTCATTTTCTTTCAAATCCTTTTCTATATTTTATTTTCTTCTTTTTTCTCCGTAATAGTTTTTTATGGGGTTAGTTCGTATTCTTTTTCTTATTCCCCACATTTAAATGAGATGGTTTTCCTGGGCTCTGTCCAGTCTGTATATCCAGTCTTTCTGGGAAGTAGGTCTAGTTCAGAAAGATTTTCTGGTTTCAGTCTCTCTTCTGCCCCTAGAGCTCTATAGATCTTGAATTTTGAGATGTTGTCTCAGTTTTGAATGTTGCTTTTTATTATTAGTTTTTTTTTCTTCTGGGATTTGCTGCCTCTGGGCATCGCTACCTTCCTCACCCCTCCTTTTCTCAACCATCTCTCCAGTGTTCCTACCCTGTTGAGTTTGGTTTCAGTTTCTGGTAGTTTTCATTCAGAGTATAAGGTTTTTTTCCTTCTGGAACAGGGTGTTTCATGGATATTTCAGAGATTCTGAAGCCCTAGACTGTTAGACTTGTTTAATGTCACATTAGCATGCAATTTTTTATGCTTGTGTTTCATTTGGAGCCTTTGAGACTGACCTGTTTTTGCAGGTCATTTGCAGATTCATCAGTTCGTACTTTTCTCATTTCTGTGGCTTGTAGAGTAGTAGGTTGTCTTCTTTTACTTCCTATTGCTCCTGCAACATAGCTGTTGATCTTTTATGTGTCCTGCTACCCATATTCTTGGGTTTTGGAGGATTGCTTGCAATGTGTTTTTTGAAGATGTCTTCCTTGGGCTTGTTTTCTGTCATTTTGGTTTTGGTGCTGTTTGTTTCTTTGTGTTTTTACTCCTGGTTGGAGAAAGTTGGGGAGGTTAAAAAATTCAGTGTCCCATGATCATTTAAAGTCACTTTTATGTATTTTTATTATGTATAATAATGTTAGTTCTGTTGGCATGTAAGTCAGAATATTTATAACTATTAGCTAGGCTGTGCTTCTGCAAATGCAGTTCAACTTAGCTCAGATCTGTAATGGGGTTCCACACAATAAGCTGAAAGAGAGAGAGAGAGAAAGAAAGATAAGACTTGGATAATATAAAACTAATGGTATGCAAACTACATCATTGTTTTTTAGGTATTTTTGAGAAACAGCTATTCACAGTGCATTTTTTGCAATGGTATGACTATATTTAAAATCAATTTTTATTAAATTATAGCATACATAGAAGAAAGAACTCGAGTCATAAATGTACATTTCAGTGAATTATACAAGGTAAATGTATCCAGGTCAATAAATAGAAACATTCCAGCACCCCAAAGCTCTCGTGGTACCTCCTCTCAATTTCTACTTCTTTTATCCTCCCCAAGAGTATTGATTTATAATCACATGATTTTGGCATTTTTTTGAACTTTAAGGAATTATGCAGTTTGGATTCATTTTTGTCTGGCCTATTTCACTATTACGTTTATGAGATTTATCCTGGTTTATGTCTGTAGTTCATTCATTTTCATCATACTGTAGTCTATGAACATACTACAGTTTTAATCATTTGTTGATAGGTGTTTGGATTATTTCCTGTTTGGGGCTATTATGAATAATACTACAATGAATATTGCTGACAAGTCTTTTGGTGTACATGTACGTGTACTTCTGAAGATTGTATACCTTTGAGTGGAAATACGGGGTCATAGGACGTATGTATATTTATTTAATAGATAAAGCTTATTTTTCAAATTATTTGTTTATAGTCCCAACAGCAGTGTTTGAGAGTTCTTGTAACTCCACATCTTCATTAACACTTGGTTCTGTCAGTTTTGTAATTATGGTCATTCTGGTGTATGTGTAGGGGTTTTATTTTGCATATCCCTGATGCCTGGTGAACACTGAGGCTGAATACTTTTTCGTCTTTATTGGCCATTTGGATATCCTCTTTCATGAAGTTTATCTTTTTCATTGGTTTATGACATTTTAGTTTGTTTTTTAATTTTCTGATTATGAGCCCTTTGTTCATTATATGTGAAGCATATCTCTTCAACTCCTTACTGGCTTTTATTCTCAAATGATTTTGCTAAATAAAAGGTCTGAAGTTAAGTATGTTCAATTTAATTATTCATTTCCTTCATGGTTTGTGCTTTTTGTGTTCTGTTTAAGAAATCATTTGCTATTCATAGTCATAAAGATAATCATACGTGTCTGTAGAATTTTTTTCCTTCTCCTTTTCGCATTTAGATCCACAGTCCATTTGGAACTGATTTTTATGTCTGATGTGAGATAGAGGTCAGTTTCCCCCCATGTGGCTATCCAGAGTGTTTCTGTCCATCTCCATATTCTGTCATGAGTCCCATTCCATGGAAGCTGGTACTATGTAGTAGTTAAACGAAGAACACAGATGCTAGATCCATATTGTTTGACTTCCAAGTTTGGCTGTGACATTTATTAGCTATGTGACCTTGGATAAATTACATACTATCTCTGGCCCTAGCTTTTATCTGAAAGATGGACACAATAAAAGTTTTCTGAGGATTAAAGAAGTTTGTACATAATTTTCACTAAATCATAGTAATACACATTATATTGTGTTTACTGATCATGTGCTCTAAGTTCACTTTGTCATGCCTGCTATGTTCATTGCAATTATAACAACGATAAGAGTTATAATAGCAAACATTTATAGACAATTTATTATAAACTAGGTATTTTTCCTGTTTTATAAATGAGGAAGTTAAATCGTGGAAAGATTAAATAAGTTTCCCAGTGTGACAAAACTGGTTAATGACAGAGCTGTTTTCAGAACCAGGCAGTCTGACTCCAAAGTTGGTGCTCTTAATGGCTTCAATATACTGCCTGTAAAAGGAGATGTCAGATTATAAATGTATCTGAGGCTGTAATTATAGTTTCCAACTCCCTCTCAGTTATTTTCTCATGTGAACAATTGATGTCCTACCCTCACTTGTTGCTCTTTTCATTTCAGACCTAAAACTCTGAATGGTAACTAAATTCAGTTTTGTTTTGTTTTGGGTTTTTTTTTTCCTTTCTCTCTGTCTCTTCAGAAATATAAGACCAGGCAAACATGCCCTTCCCTGCTTTTGAGATGCCCTATACCATTTGACATAAATTCATCACTTCAGTATTTTAAGCCATTGTTGACAGATCCAAACCCTATTCTTAGTAATATTTGCTCTTCTTGCCATCCTCTTTAAAAAAAAAAAAGAAAAAGAAAATTCTATTGTATCTTATTAGCTCCATTCTCTTTTCACAGACTTATTTTATCAATGTTCTTTGGAAAGAGCTCTTATAGCGTCACTTGTGCTCTTCAGTCTTTGAGTTTTGCACTGTAAACTCCATAGTCCCCAGAGATGTTTTGCACATCTTTACTGAAGATATGATTTGCCTTTGCGTTTCTTTTTTTTTTTTCAGATGGGCACCTTGAGCTAACAACTGTTGCCAATCTTTTTTTTTCCTTAAAGATTGACACCTGAGCTAACAACTGTTGCCCATCTTCTTTTTTCTTTCTTTCTTTTTTTTTGATTTCTGCTTTTTCTCCCCAAATCCCCCCAGTACATAGTTGTACATTTTGGTTGTGGGTCCTTCTAGTTGTGGCACGTGGGACGCCGCCTCAGTGTGGCCTGATGAATGGTGCCATGTCCGTGCCCAGGATCCGAGCCAGCGAAACCCTGGGCGCCATAGCAGAGCAAGCGAACTTAACCACTCGCCCACGGGACCGGCCCCCTTCTTTTCTTGACTCTAAAGGAAAGACTAGTATTAGGTATTTTTGTCAGTTTCTGTCACCTTGGATACCACTCCAGGAAGATAACACATTTCCCAGTTTGTCGTGTCAGGTTTCTATATAGCAACTTCCAGTACTCATCAACTAGGAATCACCCATCATACAAAATTTATTTTGCCTCTAAACAGCAGTAACAGATTTTAAATAAAATCTCTTGGTGTTTTTGAAGCTTTCGTATTCTGTGCTTTTTCAGCAGAGGTTGTGGATTCTCTTTCTGTGAATTAGATTCCATAAATATTCATATCCATTGGCTTTTGCTAACTTAGTTGTTTAAAATAACGACTGACTTGCTTCTGATTCTGTAGGTAGGCTGTTTGACTTGGGCTCAGTTGAGAAATTCTGCTAATCTCGACTGGTCTAATTTATATTTCTGCCCGTGCTAGTGGTTGATGGCTTCACTTAAATATCTGACGGTTGGCTTTCTGTCAGCTGAGAGTGCTGGGCCTTGTGCCTGTCATTTGGCAGACTAACTTGGACTTAATCATGTGGTGGTCTTAGGGTTCCAAGATTAGCAAACAAGCAAATTCCAGTGTGCAAGGGCTTTTTGAGACTGGTGGTGTCACATGTTGCTGATATTCATTGAGGAAAGCAAGTCGCATGGTCATTTCAGATGTAGGGGATGCAGTACTTCAGCTCTCAATGGAGAGAGAAATATGTGGTCATTTAGCAATTTATTACATTATTGTATACCTCCATAGTCCCATCCTTCTCTTTTTGTTTATTTTTCTCTTTTTATCCACTTTATTGAGGTATAATTTATAGAATAATGTGCACACATTTTAAGTGTGTAGTTGAGTTTTGACAAATATATGCTCCCCTCTTACCACCACCTCATTCAAGATATACAGCATTTCCATCACCCCAGAAAGTTCCTTTCTGCCACTTTGCAGTCAACACTACCTTGCACTGCAGACAAGCACTGATTTGATTTTTATCGGTATGAATTAGTTTTGCCTATACTAGAACTTTATATAAATGAGATCATAGGTTATGTATTCTTTTGTGCCTGGCTTCTTTCACTCAGCATAATGTTTCTGAGATTCATCTATCCATTATTTCATTTTATTCATCCTATTATGTTATCCCCCCATATTATTTTCCGTAAATTATATAAAGGTAAATTTTAGTTATCTTACATCCCAGTTATCACAATGGATAAATCATTGGACTTTGAAGTTGATAAGTTTTTATTATTTGAGTGTTCTTTCTGGTGTATTTTCTTTAAGATCCAATGGGGAAATATGAAGGAAGAGTTTACTTAACCAAAACCTAGTCCATGAAAACAAAAATGCAGAATTTGTGATTAATGTGGAAAAGTATAAGTTTCAGAAATTGACATTTTATTAATTAGATACATTTCTGGGATGTAATTGAGAACTTTGTGACTCATGTCTAGGCATATAGACATGTATAAAGTATATAATAAATGTTCCTTATTGTAATGTTTTTCTAGGCATTTATAAATTAGAGAAAATGAGATTTTAAGAACTGCTTTTCCTTCTTTGTTTCTACTTAATAATGAAACAGAATATAGCTACTATTTGCTCTTCAATTAGGTAATTGGTTTAGCATGTTCAGTAGAGGCAGGCAAGTTTGATTAATGCTCTTGAAAAACTTTAATGTGAGCCTACTCAAATAATTTTCCAGATAAATGCTTTTTTGGTACACTGTTAAATTTGTCTGTGCTAGTGATCCATATGTTATTTATGATTGCAGAGGTGATTCTGTTACTATCCTTTTGGGAAATAGAAAATTAAATCATGATTTGAGGGAAAAATAGGATTCCGGCTTAATCAGTTAAATTGCCATATAATTCTGGAATAGACAAAATAATTGCATGTCAGGCTAAATTTGAAGTGATAGATTTATATTTCCAACTTTCTTTTTATTTGTTCTGACACAAATAAGTTAGTTTTATTCTAAATTGCACTGGTTGTCAGTAGTAGTGAGACACAATCTTAGGTGATTTTTTGATTAGCAAATTTTTTAAAATTACACATTCATATTTATTATTATTTTTAATGTGTTTAGATACAAACCAAGAAAAGTGCTGTATTTTAAAATCCTTATGACTTCAGCTTTACGGAAAGTTTTCATTTTTATTTGCTATTTAAAAAAGTAGAGTAAATGTTACTAGGTAGTATACAATTTTGTACCCCCTCCCCCAGCCCTTCAAAGCTTTTTCTCAGAATTAGACCTTTAAGTATCTGATTAGGACCATTCCTGTTTACTTTGGATAGGCCATGGTAAAAGAAAAGGCTTTCTGTTCTTGGTTGTCCTTGTGAAAGTGAATTTATTAGCAGGATAATGTGAGTAATAAGCACACCCCACGTCCTTTACTCACCATGGGAAATTATGAAAAAGCAAAGTTTTGAATGTGGTGTTGCTGTTACCATATTTTGTAATTGTGACTTGTATATGTAACATTTGAATTCCTTAAATTAGTAGTGTCTTATGAAAGGCAAAGTGATCTTGATTTCTATGAGAATCTTTCCTTGGCACTTCCTATAGAAATCTCCTTTAATTACTCTATCAAATCAAGATTCAACCGCAGAAACTGATGCTTTAGGAAGTAGGGTAATCATAATGGTAAGCTGCAGCCAGAGAGGTCAGAAGCAGGTTAGCAGTTCCTGAAGCAATGATGTTACCTGTGCTTGATCATGTAATCTGTCTCAACAGGTCACGAGAAGTTTGCCAAATTAAGTTAATTAAGAAAGAGAAGGAACACATCATAAATCAAGTACTAAGTACTTAAGACAGCATTGGTATTTGAAGGAAAGATCAGTTACTTGAAAATGTATTGAGTGCTTAGATGTTAACTTGAGAATACTATGTGTTGCTAATTGCAAATATTAATCAATACCTTAACCAGGGGAAAAAGAGTAACATAGATATAATAAACTTTCCCTAGCCCCACATGGAACTCTTAGTTATCTAGTAACGCTGTAGTGTTAAATCAAAACTGATAAATCTTGGAAATTGTTAGTCTAATTATAAAACTCACTTTGAAATCAGCATGGGGTATTCAACAATGTTTCCCTCACTGATTGTATTCACTATATTGAGTTTATAATATGCCATGAATTTGCTTTTAAATATACAAAGACAGTATTTAGTGCATTATATTTTGTTTTCATGATAAAATCCAATTTCAGTTTGGTTTTATAAAGTAAATGACAACTTAATAAACAAGAGATGCATGTTCTAAAACATGTTTACATCATTTTAATATGTAGCATAGAATTTTATTTGGCAGCTCTTTGCTGCAGAAACATGATATTATCTAGTTGGCTAATAAATCTGGAAAATTTTTTAAAATTGTGACCTACTGTAAATAATTGTAGCTATATCTTGCAACTTTAAAATGTTTAATAAAAAATACTTTATATTTTACCTCTGTTTGAAATTATAAAAGTTTGTTTAGAGACCAGACAAGTAGAAATGGTCCATGTTCTATAAGCTAAATTTCATTTATAAATTGTGCTTTTTATTTCATAAAAGTTTTCTGGTGTGTAGGGGATAGGTTTTTTTTTTTTCTTTTTGCTGAGGAAGATTGGCCCTGAGCTAACATCAGTTGCCAATCTTCCTCTTTCTGCTTGAGGAAGATTGCCAGTCTTCCTCTATTTTGTATGTGGGATGCCACCACAGCGTGGCTTGATGGAGCAGTGTGTAGGTCTGCACCCAGGATCCAAACCTGTGAACCCTGGGCCGCCGAAGTAGAGCATGTGAACTTAACCACTATGCCATCAGGCTGGCCTAGAATAGTTTTAAAATCAAATCTTTGGTTTTATAGATTATCATGCTACTTAAGTGTTTAACCTGGACAATTTTGCAGTGAAATTTTTGTACACTTCAACTAAAGATGAAACCTTAGTGAAAATGTCCTTAAAACTCATATTTTGTGTTTATTGAAGAGAAAGAACATATTTGATTTCATGCTAGTGATAAAATAGATAACGTTAACTTTCATTAGTAATGTGAAGGTAAGATTATGATTTTGAAGCTGCCACTGAAATTGAGTCTAATTGCATTTTTTTTAAATTAGTTTGCAGGTCGCAGTAAGAAGGAAACCAAATACTCTCTTAAGGCAGTCGAAGACATGTTGGAAACACTGCAGATCACCCAGTCTTAAGGTTTCAAAAACTCTTTCACATTACATTTCACAACTGCCAATTGAACTTATTGGCCTGTGATTTATTTACTAAATGCCCAGTGCTATTTATATACTAGTTTTCTGTTAAGAAGGCAATTGTAAAGAATGTGTTTATATAAACCCAAAAATGCCTTTTACTGCTAAGCAGGAAGATGGGGAAAGTCCATGGAAGAGAGACTTAATAAAACTCTTATTGATTGTACATCATTCTCTTCATATCACACATATATTACTGCTTTTAAACCACAATCTGATGTAGAAATAACCTTGTTAAATAAACCATGATGATTTAATAAACTTGCATATGAAGATTCTAGATTCTTTTTGTTATACTCAAATAGTGAACGTATTGTTTTAGAACTCAATTTCTAGTTTACTCCCTTTTTTGGTAATAGGAAATACATAGCATGCATAGCTCGCAGGAACAAAATGCTGGCAGATGATTTTGACTCTCTTTATAGTGTCAAGTGGGATTTTACTCTGCATTCTGGTGGGCTGTTGTTTAATGTGGTATAATGTTATTCTGATGAATCTTGCTTAAAATATGTCATTCCTTGAAGTTCAGCAATATCTCTTTGTAAAATTTTTGTTTTGCCATAGGACATAATTGAGATTTTTACCTATAAAATACTTAAAAGTTCATGCATGCTAAAATACTCAAATTTAACCTTTATGAAAGTTATATTTATTGAACGTTTAACTATAAATTACATAAAAGAATATTTAGAGATCATAGAGAATAGGGATGAAAGGGGAGGGGTTTCAGTGGCTGTTATTTTTACTTTAGGGAAAAATAAGAAAATCTAAACTATCTTTAGAAGTAAAATTTTTACAATTCTTATATCTCATTAACTTCATAGTAATAATTAGAATTTATTCTTCCTTTTAAGTTTTTCGTGAAAAACAACCATTATACTACCTTAACAGTATTTTGCATATTCTAATAGGTAAGAACTTTGAGAGTTAAAAATTTTATTTAGATACAAATCAGTTTAAAATTGGCAGTTGTTCATTCAGAACAAATATTGTTAGTATTAGTTTGTAATATATATTACATATATATGCATAATTACATATGTAAATATTTATTTTTCACCAAAATTATACAGAAACTCCACACTTGTCATTGCTGGATTTCGGCAAGTGAGGATCATGGAGGAATGGGCAACCTGAAAGTTTTAGGAAGAAAATTATTGTCAATATCAGATTTTTAACCTTTTGAATAATTCTGTCAGTAAATTATTCTCCATATCTAGTCTTTCATTTCTTTTGTACTCCTTTTCATTTTATTCTCCCATGAGTAATGAGGCAGATGTGAAATAACTCTTCCCAATAATTGTTATCAGCTAATCTTTATCATCACAAGATGCACTCTTTTTGTTCATGAATTTATTAGTAACTACATTTTCAATATAATCAGCCATTTCAGGTTTATTTACTATAGAGAAAATAGTGCCCACATATTATTCCACTACCATTCTTCCCTCTAATCTTCTATCAGTCACTATTAGTAGTGTTACTTTAGCAATTATATTTGTGTAATAAGTAATTTAGTGCCTCTTGTAACTATCAGACTTAGTTTTATTTTGTCTAATTTTAATACCTTCTTTAACACCTCCTACTTAATTTATTAAGTGCGTTTTTAATGTGTAATAATTTGTAAACTTTAGTGTAAATGTATTGATAATGTCCCTTGTGGCAGACAATTCCCTCCACTGCTTTTACCTCTACTTCTTCGTTATTAACAGTGTCCTATAATAATCTTCAAGGAGATTAGGACCTTACTTCAGCCCCAGGGAATATATAATGACTGATCCAAAACAGAAGTGGTTTTATTCCTTGTGGTCTGTAATATGCCAAAGCAGAACTTTTTGCAACAAAGGAACTGTTCTGTATTTGTGCTGTCCAATATGTAGCTGTTTGTGGCTATTGAGCTCTTGAAATGTGACCAGTACAACTGAGAAATTGAATTTTTAATTTTATTTTAATTTAGAAAGCTGCATGTGACTCATGACCACCATATTGGACAGCACAAATATCTAAAGTGTAGGCATGTGACCTGCTTAGGGCTCTTCAAATGAACAGAATCCTATTAGGAATGGCCTTCCTTTCAAATTAAAAAGGCAAAAAAAGCTTTGTGAGGTGAGGCTCTTTGCCTCTTCCTCCTCCTTCTGGCCATGAATGCCAACAACATGCCTAGGGGTACAACAGCCATCTTAGTACCATGAAACAGCAAATATGAGAATGAAAGCTACTATTCAAAGATGGTTCTGTAGAAAGATTAGGGGGAGCCTAGGTCTCTGATGGCGTTGTTGAACACCTGAACCTATGTGAGCAATTGCCAACCTCTGCACTTATTACATGAGAAAAATAAACTCTTGATTTTCAAGCCATTGTTTGGATATTCTGTTACCTTAGCCATGTGTGTTTCTGACTAATATATCCACCATTCAACTTTTTTTTTTTAACATGCATAACTCTCTTATTTTAGACATACTAGGTATGCTTTTTCAGAATGTAATGATTTAAAGTTAAGTAGATAATTACATATAACAAAAGAAGTAATAATTTATTGCAACTCAGAACCCAGTATTTAAACCAACAGAGGTGAGAAAAAGGTATATTAAAACAGCTTTAAGGATAGTATTGACTTGGGAATAGAAGATGTAGAAAAAATAGGAATGGAACACCAATGTTTCAGTATGCTGGAAGCATACAGTTTTTATTGGCAAATATTTCAAAGAATCTTTTTCTTCTATTGCCACTGTCCATTTATTCTCGGTATAACTTCATTTTACTTCATTTCATAGACCTGTAGGATTTTAGAAGGGATTTTAGAGATGATTTAGTTGTACTTCATTTTAAGATGAGGAATCGAGGTTCTAAGAAATTGAACTCTTCTGTGATGGAGCAGGGAATGGTACTGGGGTCTCAGGGTTTCCCAAGTCAATGCTCTGTCTAGTATACTCTGAGGCATATGTCTCTTCCTTGATATGTTGTTCCTATTTCAGAGTGGCAAAAGTGAAAGCTGGAGATATCCAAGGGACATTGCTTATTAGCAGAGCAGGGATTACAATCCATGTTTTCTGATTTGTAAAGTAATTTTTTAATGGAATAAGGAAGTCAGAATTTCATTTTGTGAACTAAATTGCATTTAAGTTAAATTACTCATTTAAGATGTTACCTCATTTACAGTCAATCTGAGAACTATTTCACACTGTTTAGAACTATTTCAAACCTCTTTCACTTTGACCTTCTGATGTATCCTATCTCCCTTCTCACTCTCAGCAAGTATAACCTCTTGTTAGAGGCTGAATTGTGTCCCCCAAAAACTCATGTGTTGAAGTTCAAACCCATGGTACCTCTGAATGTGATTTTATTTGGAGACAGAATTTTTAAGGTGGCAGTTAAGGTAAAATTAGTTCATATGGGTGGGACCTAATACAATACGTTAGATATGTTTATGAGAAGAGAATAGGACACAGACACACACAGGAAAGACGACGGGGTGACAAAGAGAAGATGTTCATCTACAAGGCAAGGAGCAATTCCTCAGAAGAAACCAACCATGCTGACACCTTGATCATGGACTTCTGACCTTTAGAACTGTGATGAAATAAATTTCTGTTGTTTAAGACATCCAGTCCTCTGTGTACTTTGTTAAGGCAGCCCTAGCAAAAAATATAGCCGTCTTACTATTTCACAGAGAAAAAGAGAACTCACCAGATAAAAACACACCCAGTATCAGACATTCTTGTACCCACATTCACCTCTTTTCCTCTTAGAGTAGAAGAAAGTAGCCCTAACCTTTTCTGAACAATTTCCTACCACTGCCCCCATCAATTTTTATACTTTAGCCGTATTTGTTTCATGAAATTGCCATACTCCCTTCTGCCACAGAGCATTCTGCCTTCCTCCAAAACTTCACATCATCACTTTTCTTCATGCTTGTCCTTAAACTATTTCTTTTCTTCATCACCTCTTCTCTCTTTTATTTCAACTAGATTTTTCCTATTGAACTAAGATGTGCTTTGTTGGCTACCACTTTCAAAATGCCTTCCCTCATTTCCATAACTCCCCTCCAGCTACTACCTCATTTCTCTCTTTTTGTTTTTACTGCCAAATTTTTTCAGTTGTCTAAATTTGTATCTGTTTTTCCCCTCCCATTCTTTAAATTACTCCAGTCTGGTATTTCACTTGCCCAATTATTCCTTTGAAATAGTTTAGTTCCATGTCACCAATCTAATGGACATTTTCAGTCTTTTAATTCATGACCATGTTTCATGTATTTCCATGCATAAAATACATCTAGTATGCATCTCAAATCTGTCCATTTTTTTCCATTTCCATTGCCAGCATTACCCTAATCCAAACTACCATCACCTGACCTGGCTTACAATAGTAGCCAGATAGCTAGATTTCCTGCATCCTCACATCCTCCCTAGTCCATTCTCCACTGCAGTTAGAATGTGACTAAACATAACTAATAATGCCCTTTTACCCTCCCCCTCACTAAAAATCTTCAGTTGGTTTTTCCATTTACTGCTCTAAACATGTCCTTTGAGGTTCTATATGGCATCAGAACCAGGAAGGATGATTCAGATCCTTTAAACTGTCTGCCTCTACTCTCGTCGTCTATTTCTGAATTTAGACACACTTAAATGCCATGGAGTTGTTATGCTTCCTTCTTCCACAAACTTGGTGCTTGTTCCCGCTGTATAGAACAAAGCCTTCCTTGACTCATTGTTCGAAGGTCAGGCTCCTCTTTTTTTTTTTCCTACTGTATTTTTTAAATAACGTTTTATTTTAAAATACTTTGTAAGATTCCCAAAAATTTGCAAAAACAGTTCAGAGAGTTCCCATGTACCAGCTTCTCCCTGTTACCTTCTGTAACCACAGTACATTGTCAAACCAGGAAGTTGACATTGCAACGATGCTATTAACTCAGTAACAGACCTTGTTTGAATTTCATAATTTTTACATGCTCTTTTTTTTCTGTTTATGAAATTTTATTTGTGTGAGTTAATGTTACCATCACCGTAATCAAGATACAGATCTTCACATCACAAAGAAACTTCCTGTTGCTACTCCCTTAATAGTTACACCGTCATCTCACCCTAATGCCTGGCATTCACTGATCTTTTCTCCATCATTATAATTGTCACTTTAAGAATGTTATATAAGTTGAATCATACAATATATAACCCTTTGAGACTGGCTTTTTTCATTCAGCATATTGCCCTTTAGATCCTTGGTTTTATTACATGTGTCAATAGTTTGTTCCTGTTTATTGCTAAGTATTCCATTGTAT